GGGGGGGGGGGGAATGGCACGATAACGGAGCTTAACACCAGCACTCATTCGATGGTGCAGCTCTGGCATGCAGACAGCCCATCCATGCCGCCAACGCCGTTCATCGCGCAAATACCGATCACCTACACCCCCCCCCCCCTCACCCCCTCGCCCATTACCCACACAGATCGCCCTCTTCATCCGTCAATCAATCAAACAATCAAACAATCATGCCCCACCACCCACACCCCCCCCTTCCCCATCTTCCCCATCCCCATCCCTCCCCACCCCCATCACCCCATCATATCCACCCCCATTCCCCATACACGCTACTCCCCCAACACTCCCCGTCCGATCTCTGCGCACCAAACAGATTGAGTCTCAGAAGACATGGCCCCGAGCCGGCAAGCAGAGAGTGGGGCGCGTGTCGGCGCACAGCCGCCGTTGGCCGCCACTCGTCGCCACCACGACTCGACCGTTGAGGCAGAGGCACTGGGGCTATGGGCAACTGCTGTGGCAAAGAACGGGTGACACCACCTGCTGTAGCATCCGGGAAGGGTACACTGCTGGTGACAGATGAGTTCTGCCTGGCAGGCAAGGCCGGTGGCCGCAATGCCCGCCTCGAGGCCCTGCTGGACCATGTCTACACCGTGGTGGAGAACGACCCACAGTTTGCCGGCCAGACCTTCTCGTCGGACGTCTCCTCGCCGGCCGTCGTTGCTGCTCTTGAGGCCGACCTCGCCCGAGCCCACGACAAGAAGTACGTCAAGGGCGGGATGAAGGCTCTTCGCGTTGCCCTCCGCTCTGCTCCAGAGGCAAAGATCCCCGTTCCGGGCACGGGCACGAGTCTCTCCGCCCTCCGCCTCCGCGCCATGGGCGGCTGCGTCAACATCGCCCTCCGCGCCGTCGACTCGCTCCTCCTACCCTCGAACAAGCAGTCGCACAACGTGCTGGGCTTCACCTCCAACTCGGGCCACCGCGCCTCACGTGCTGTCGCGCCCAAGGGCTACAACATGTTCAACGCCGCCGCCGTCGCCGCACTCTACGCTCGTGCACGCTTTGGCCTCGACCGCGTCGCCGTCCTCGACCTCGACCCGCACTCGGGCGAGGGCACCCTGGACATGGCGCGGAGCCACGGCTTTTTCTACGGCGCCACACAGCTTGTGGCCGATGACGTCGACCTCTCGCGCGCAAAGATCACAGAGGCCGACGGCCGCATCGTCGTCCGCGGCCTGCCCTGGGACGCCACCGCTGACGAATTCCGTTCCGCTTGGGCCTCCTCCATCCTGCCCAAGCTCAAGGCATACAGCCCGCAGCTGGTCATTGTCTCGCTCGGTTTTGCCGACGCCGAAGACGACGACCGCTTTGTCGGCGGCGTGTGGGGCGTTGATCCCGACGAGTACTTTTGGGTCCTCGACCACGTTGCCTCTATTGCCGAGACTGCCGCCCTCGGCCGCATTGTTGTCCTCCTTGAAGACGGCGTCCACGTCGACTCGGTCCTCGACTACACCACCATGGCCCTGTATGCCCTTGTCGGCGCTGACCCGCCCGAGGCTGCTGTCGTCATCGACGAGCAGTACTCGGAGCCCGAGTCGTCCGAGTCCGAGCCCGAGTCCGAGCCCGAGCCCGAGCCGACTCCGGAACCGAGCCCCGAGCCGACCCCGGAGCCGAGCCCCGAGCCGACCCCGGAGCCGTCGTACGACGAAGACGACTCGTTTGTCGACGAGCCGCGCTACGAGTACGACGACGACGACGGCTGGCTCGACCCGCGCCACACCTTCCTCGACCAGGAGATCGGCAAGCAGTGGGCCATCAACCGCGAGCTCGAAGAGCGCCTCGCTGCTCTGGAGACAACGATCCAACAGGCCGATGCCCACGAGGCCGACGTTGAGGCCCGCCTTGCCGTGCTCGAGGCCCAGCTTGAGGACGAGAAGGCGACCCTCGAGCCCATGCGCGCAGCCCTTGCGCCCCACACGAACGACATCATGGCTTCGGTCCACGCCATTGACGACAAGGTGGTCCGCGCTCGCGAGCTCACCACGCTCATCGCCGCCAACAAGGAAACATCGGCAGAACTGCGCGAGCTCATCGCCGCCCTTGAGGCCCAGGTTGTCGATCGCGCCCGCGAAAATGTTGTTGCCCACGTCGAGGCCGGCGATCGCGAAGCTGCCGCCGTCGCCCGCGCCAAGGACGAGCTTGCCGCCCTCAACGCCTCGGCCGCTCGCATGCTTGAAGAGCTCGGCGAGCTCTCAGAGTCCTCCAACGTCATTGCTGCTGCCTTTAAGCGCGCCGCCGGCGAGGTCCGCACCACCCGCCTCGCAGCCTCGCACCTCGACGACGACATCCTTGGCGCTTACGCCAACGTTGAGGCCAAGGTCGACTTTGTTGCCAACACCGCCACCATGCGCAAGATGCGCGAGCGCGACGTTGCCATCGCAAAGGAGGGCCACATCAACATGCTCCAGCGCAAGGTCGACCGCGTCAACACCGGCCTTGCTCGCGTCGGCCAGATCGCCAACGAGACCAGCGCCGCCATTGACGCTCATGACGCTGTCTCGCCCGAGCGCGCCGCCGCCCGCGAGCAAGTCCGCCTCGCCCAGGCCCAAGTCGACGCACACCTTGCTGGTGCACCGGCTGTCGCCGCCCGCCCTCCGCGTGCCGCATCGGTCTCGACCGCACTGACTGCAGACACCTCGGGCATGGACTCTTCCGGCTTTACTGACTTTCATCCGGCCACAGACTCTTTCTATCTCGACCAATGAAACCACTGCACACAAGCCCGCAAGTTCACAGCTACTGGCTCGACGCGTGCCGCGCCCGTTGGGCCGTGGCCTGCTCGCAGCGGAGAACGTGTTCCAGAAACTCGAGAAGCAAGAGGTAGATGGGGTCGCTGCGGCTCGCTGGCTTGCACGCCGTCAGATGGTCGTTAGGTACGGTGACAAAGCGACCATAGCCTGGATACGCCGACTCGGGCGGGACGATGACGATGCGCAGCGGCGACGACGGCCGCTCCGGTGGGAGCGGGAGCGCAATCTCCTCGCCCACAGACATGACCGCAATATGCCGGTAGCGGCGGACAAGCTCGTTGAGGAGGCGGAGCTGAACCGAGCCCATCTGCAGGACCTGGAGATCATGCGACGGCTTGTAGACCGACGACGCGTAGGAGGCCACCAGCGGGAGCCATGAGCCAAAGTGCGGAGTGGCGTAAAAGGCAATGCCGACTGTCCGCGCCAGCAATGCTGGCGCCCGCTGCTCAGCAAGCACGAGCGCTTGCTTGACTACCAGCCCGCCCATCGAGTGGGTGACAAAGACCACGCGCCGCCCGCCGCGGCCGACACCGGCCTCGACGAGCTTGTCGAGAAGCGCCGCACCGCGCTCCTCGAGCGTCAGCGACGAGCCGGACCACTCGGACCAGACCGAGTCGTATCCGATCGAGAGGATTCGCGCGTCAGCAATGCGAAGTTGCTTGTGGTCGGCACCAGGCCGTGCCTTGCGTGCTGCCATTCCGCTCAGGAACGCCGTCTCGAGCCCGGCGTCGCGCCAGAGCTTCGATGCCTTGTCGTCGAGCTTGACCAGCTCGGACGAGGTGTAGTCATGGCCCGCACGCATGGGCGACCGCCCGCGCTCGCGGGCAACTCGGGCCACAAGCTGCTCCAGATCGTGCGGAAGCCAGGCGTGCGGCCAAATGATGTTGGATCGCGGCTGTCCCAACGGCGCAAATGTCCGCCAGGTCGTCACTGGGTGGCCGCGGAGGCCGTGCACAAACACAATGTCTAGACTCGACGTCGCGGTCGTCGCATCCGCCTCGGCATCGTGCAGGGTCTCGGTGGCCGACGTCGGGTGCAGGATGTAGACTGAGTCGTCGTAGGCAGAGACAAACTTGCCCGGCCGCTGCGCAATGCGAAACGGGCGATGCATGTTGGAGAGGGCGCGGACGGCCTGGAGCTTGAGCTCCATCGGCTGGTCGGACTCGTCGTCGGCCGCTCGCGACCATTGCACAAGCCGTGGAAGCAGCGTCGAGGTGAGGACTGTGTGGGTGAGTGCGGCGCTTGCATTGTCATCCAGCGCCACGTTGGCCACAATGCGGGCGACTTGAATGGCGGCCGAGTTGGCGTCGGCGGCATCGGCGCGGTCGAGAAGCTCACAGAGCACGCTGACGAGGACCGGGGCAGGCACTGCCGCGACCGCGCTCCGCGACGTCGGTGAGCCCGTGTAGTCACCGAGGAGCCTGAGGAGAGTAGCATCGAGCTTGGCCCCGTCGGCAGAGCCGCCCCAGACCCGCGGGATGGCACCCGAGACCCGAGCCCACCACGAGGGCGGGCTGGCGTCCGGGGTCTTCACGGCGCTCGCCAGCCGCTTGCTCACATACTCGCGATCAGCGAGCGTGGACGAGTACTCGCGCGGAGTCGGGAGAAAGAGCAGGAGCTCGCAGAGCGCCGCCGCTATCGCATCGACATTGTCGGCCACCGTGGCAAACCGTGGATCGGGATCGGCGGTGACCGGGGCGTGAGCTGTGAGGAGCCGCGCCGCCCGCTGTGGATCAAACACCTCGACCGGAACCAGCTCGGAGCGGGCGCAGAAGAGCAGGGCCGAGACGCCGCCGACCGCCACGAGCTCGTCGGCGGCCGCCGGCTCAGCGGTGAGGCCGGCCAGAACCTCGATGAGCAGCTCGCGGACTCGGCGATGCGGCTCGGCTACCAGCAGGTCGACGAGACGGGCGAGCGGGGCGGCGTCCAGCGCTACTGCTCGAGCATCAACGTCGGGCACTGCAGCAGCCAGCACCTCCAACGCTGGCTCGAGCGGAGGCCAGTTTCCGTGAGGAGCAAGCTCGACAACTGCCAAAGCGCCAGCGATTCGCAGATTGCGCGCCAGCAGAGGCAGCGGAGGAGGATGGGTGACGTGGGACCGGCCGAGTGCGCTGTCGTCGACGACAAGCGGAGTGCGGAGCTTATAGGCGGCGATAGCAACACCAGCCAGCCCCCCTGCGACCCCAGCCAAGCGGACAATCAGAGGAGCGTGTGGCAAGCGTGGCGGAGGTGGAGGCGGAGGTGGATGCGAGGATGGTGGACGAGTGGGTTGGCTCGGCTTGCTAGGCGGGCGTGGAGGAGAGGGCGGAGGTGCCGGTGCCGACGAAGCGCGACGGAGGGAGAGGCGGATGGGGGCAAGCAGGGCACGCCCTGTGGAGGCGACCAGATGGCGGAACCGCATGGAAAGGTCGAGGGTGGGCCGGGGTGGGTGGCGGTGAGGTGGCGGGTGGCGGTGAGGTGGCGTGTCCGTGGCGCCACGACGTGTCACTCTTGACCCGTGCATGCCGTAGATTCGTCCATTCAAGCAGTGCAGGAGGCAGCCGGGCTAGCGAACGACCGATGGGGCTGGCCGATGTGGCTGGCTGACGTGGCTGGCCGATGGTGCCCGACCAAGGCGCCCGACCGATGCGCCCGACCGATGCGCCTTACCGATGCGCCTTACCGATGCGCCTTACCGATGTGCCTGACCGATGTGCCTGACCGATGTGCTCGACCGATGTGCTCGACCGATGCGCCCGACCAAAGCCCCCGACCAAAGCCCCCGACCAAAGCCCCCGACCAAAGCCCCCGACCAAAGCCCCCGACCAAAGCCCCCGACCAAAGCCCCCGACCAAAGCCCCCGACCAAAGCCCCCGACCAAAACGCCCGACCAAAGCCCCCGACCAAAGCCCCCGACCAAAGCCCCCGACCAAAGCCCCCGACCAAAGCCCCCGACCAAAGCCCCCGACCAAAGCCCCCGACCAAAGCCCCCGACCAAAGCCCCCGACCAACGCCCCCGACCAAAGCCCCCGACCAAAGCCCCCGACCAAAGCCCCCGACCAAAGCCCCCGACCAAAGCCCCCGACCAAAGCGCCCGACCAAAACGCCCGACAGGCGATCTTTTGCCGGCGAATGGACGTTGTGGCTGTTTCTCTCACTCCGCTCGCACGCCTCACTCTCTTCACACATCACTACATGGCGGCAGAAACCGATGCCGCCCCCAGCTTGTCTGCAAGCGAAGTGTATGAGGCCGGTAAGCGCGGCGAGTGGGATGTTGTGCTGGCTGTGATAGGCGAGCGGTCCGAGGCGGCGGCGGCGGCGGCGCGGTTTGTCAAGTGCAGCTCGGGCTGGACACTGCTCCACCAGGCTGCGTGGTGGGGGACAGCGATGCCGTCCGGGTGGTGGTGGGCGCCGGTGCTGTTCTCGATCACAAGGACAAGGACGGAAAGATGCCCATTGAGGTGGCCAAGGACGAGCCAACGATTGCCTTGATCAAGCTGGCCATGGACAACGCCGTCAAAGGGCTGTACAGTGGAACGCCGAGCTGGCGCAGCAGACGAGCCCGGTCGTCTTTCCGCCAGCCGCGCCGGACTCGCCCGCGGTCAAGATCATCAACGTCGGGCCGACGTACCACATCGCCTATGGCGGTGGAGTGACCTCGGCCTACAACGGCAGGGCGGTCTGGCTCGACGAGTTTGGCCGCGTTCTCGTCGGCTGGCACGGCACAGTCTCCCCACCGTCGGGCATGGCTGGCGAGGATCTCATGCAAGACGAATCAGACGCAGACATTTTGTCACGGCTAACTATCGTACCGTCATGGATGGCCATGCCGAGGTAGCTGCGCTCCCTGATTGAGTTAGTTGCAAGTGTTTGGCGGTGTGACCAAGCCGTCGCCTGGGCCCGGCTCCAGCCCGACAGCCGCAACCAGACATCGGTAACACAGGTGGTGCTCTGTCACGATGCTACGAATCCACGATCTTGGGATGGGATGGGATGGGATGGGATTCGCGCAGCATAGCCAGCGAATCAGTCTCCTCGTGCGGCTCCACCGCCAATGCAGGCCACCGTGACAACGCACCAGCTGTCAGCCGTCGTCAGCCGTGACCTATACAATGCCATGGCACAGGGGAAGGGTGGGGAGAGGGGGGGGGGGGGGAGAGTACAGAGAACAGCGATTGGATGTTTGACGATCGACATCGATCGACATGGCCCAGCCTATGGCTCGGATCTTCTCTACGTGGCCTACTCGGCGGCAGTAGCGGCCCTCTTGGCCTCCATCTCGGCCTCGAGCTTCATAAAGGCTTCCATGTTGACCTCATCAAGCTCGTCCGAGACCTCCTCGACGGCCTCAACCTCGGGGATAAAGTGCATGAGCAGGCCTTGGATGCCCTGCTTGAGGGTGACCGACGACGAGGGGCAGCCCTGGCACGAGCCCTTGAGCTGCAAAAAGACGACGCCATCGTCGGAGAAACCGCGATAGACGACGTCGCCGCCGTCCATCTGGACTGAGGGGCGGATGCGGGTGTCGAGCAGCTCCTTGATCATGAGGACCACCTCCGAGTCGTCGTCTTGCGGCTCGGTGTCTGCGGCAGACGAGTCCGCCGGAGCAGCCTCGCCCTCGCGGAAGAGCGGAGCGCCCGAGGCGAAAAAGTCCATGAGGGCGGCAAAGATCTCGGGCTTGAGGGTGGCCCACTCGGCGGTCTCGTCCTTGGTGACGGTGACAAAGTCGGCGGCAAAGAAGACCGATTTGACACCCGGAATGAGGAAGAGCGACGAGGCGAGCGGCGAGGCCCGGCCTTCGCCCAGGTTGTTGAACTCGACAGGCCGCGCCCCGGCCTCCATCAGCGGCTCGGTGGGCAGGAACTTGAGCGACGCCGGGTTGGGCGTCGCCTCTGTCCGCACAAACATGGTCCGTGCGGGCGCACGCGGCCAGCCACCCGCCGTCACCGCCGGCCTGCTCACGCTCGGCCGCGCCAGCGCAGCCACGCCGGCAACTGCAGCCGTGCTCAGCGCCCGCCGGCCGGCCGCAGCCGCAAACACCTCGGACGTCGTCCAGCCATGGCCCAGCACGCCGCAGCCAGTCGCCATCGTCCGTGTCGCCGTCACCGCCGCTGCCGGCGGAGCACGAGGCCGAGGTGCCTTGGGCAGGCCAACTGCGCGGACAGCAGACGACGCGCGGGTGAGTGTGCGCAATGTGTTGCGGAGCATGATGTTGTGGGTGGAGGTGGGGGTGGGTTGGGGTTGGGTGGGGAGGTGAGGTGCGTCGGGTCGGTGTCGGCGACCAGCAAGCTGACGACGCGTCGTCCGGCCTGTTCGGCGAGTCAATCGGCTCGGTCGCGGCTCGGTCGACTTGGTCCGCTCGTCCACCTCGTTCGGTAGTAGCAGATAGACATTGGGCACGGATCAGAGTTCATGGGGAGAGCCGGCGGCTGACTAGCTGGCTGGCTGGCTAGCTGACTACACGGCGCCACGACAAGACGCGTCGCCTGGAAAGGGCAGGGGGGTACCATGCCCTCAGAACGTCGAGTCGTAGACCGGGAGACCGTCGCGCTTAGCAGGGGCACGGACACGGGCGTTGGGTTGATGATGCGCTCAAAGCCGCGCGAGGAGACCCACTTGCGCGGCTCGTCCTTGCGGAAGTGGTGGTCGAGCCAGGACGAGTCGACGTAGGGCCCGTTCGAGTTGAGGTACGGCGACTCGTAAGTGGCCTGGCGCTGGTACGCAGGCTTCTTGGACGCAGTCGAGTACGCTGGCTTGCCGGAGCCGCGCTTGAGGAAGGGCTTGAGGGCAAAGTTGGAGGCGCCTGTTGCCTTGCCGGACATCAGCTGCTTGCGGCGCTCGCGGAGCTCGGCGTACTGCTGCGGGGTGAGGGTGACGAGGTACTCGCGGATGAGGACACGGCCGCGCTTGCGGACGCCGGTCAGCGTCGAGTTGAGGCCTGGCGGCGGGCGGGTCTTGAGTTCGTAACCGTTGGGCAGCGGGCCGTCGAACGCCGGGGGCTTGGTCGCTTGCGAGGGCGCCGGCGAGCCGTGCGCGCCGGCCGACGAGGACGGCGGGCCGGGGGCGTCCACATTCAGCTGGTCCTGCATCAGCTGCTGCTGCTCGCGAAGCTGCGCAAGCATGTCCTCCTGCTGCTGGAGGAGCGCCTGCTGCTGCCGGATGCGATCTGTGTGTGCCCGTGAGAGGTCGAGCGAACCGGCGTCCGCTGCCGCCGCTGGCTCGGCCTCGGCCTCGGCGACCTGCGCCATCGACGCCATCGACGCGTTGGTCAGCGAGGTCTTGGCCATCTCACGCTGCACAAGCCGCGCCTTGCGCTCGTCGTGGTGCTTGGCCAGAAGCTCGCGCTGCTTGTCCAGCGCCTCCTGCTGCGCACGCAGCTCGTCCTGCTGCTGCACAATCCGACGCTGCTCCGGCGAGAGTGCCCCGCCCGCAGGCGCCGGCGATGCCTCGCTCCCCGCCCCTCCTGCCCGTGCCGGCGTCTGTAACTCCGCCCCAGGCCGGCCCAGCTCCTCGCCCATCGACCCGTACCCCGCCGTCTCGTCCGCGTCAAACGAGGTGAGCGTGATCTTCTCATACGCCCCGCCAGCTGCATCCACCACGTCTCCTGTCAACGCCTTGCGCAGCTTGCTCTGCAGCAGCTCCAGCAGGTGGATCCGCGCATCCTCGCTGTGCTTCCGCACGAACCGGTCCAGCTGCAGCAGCCGGACGTCGATCGACCGCTTGAGCCGCTTCGTCGGCGTCCCCTCCGTCCCGTCCTCCACCAGACACTACCCGCCGCCACCCACCGAGTCCAGTAAGTTCCTCCCTGCCTACTCTGCCCACCACACACCCCGCATGCCCCACCCCTGCAAGGCCTGCGCCGTCACAGCCCACGCCTGGGTCTTGTCCTCCCGGCCAAAAAATGCCCCCCCCCCACCCCCGGGGCCGGCCGGCCGGCACCCCTCCCAACGGCCGCCGCCACTGCCCCGCAGCCGCCCCCACCGCTGCCCACTGCCGACGGCACAGCATGCGTACTTCTCTATACTTGTCAATGACTTCGTCAACCTCGAGCATAATCGCGTCGAGGTTGTCCAGGTCCAGGCGCTTCCAGCGAACCGACATGGTGCCGTGGAGTGGGGTGGCGGTCGTTTGTGACGCTGACTGACTGCCGTCCGATGGCGGACTCTCGAGCCACACACGCACGTCGCATCGTCGCCTGACACAAGTACATCAGCTTGGTCGATCTGGCTCGAGAGGCTTCAGCTCTATCAGAGCTTTATCATCAAAGGTGGCAGTGTGCCGCAGCTTGAAGGGGTTGCAGGCGGCCAGCGGCAAGCTGGAAACTGCGCAGCAAAACTCACGACAGCCCCCGCCGGGCTGGGCTGACGGCTAGCGGCGACGTTGGTTGGTGGCGCCTTCGGTCTTCTTCTTGCGGCGCTTCTTCTTGGTGGCAGTCGGATCGTAGACAGCCGAGGCCGCAACATCCGGCACGACCGGCTGAAAGTCGGAGAAGATGCGGTGATGGCACTTGACGGCGTTGCGCGAGGCCGTGTAGTGGCGCGGATGATCGGGTCCGAGTTGGGCAGCAAAGACGTCGCGGGCAGCCTTAAACATGGCCAGCGCCTCCTTGGAGCGGCCCATCGAGTCGAGGCAGACCGCAATGTTGTTGTCGAGGAGCGCCACGTCAACGTGATCCTCGGGCATGGTGATGAGCCGGATGGCGCGGGCCTTGCGGAAGGTCTCCAGCGCAAGCCGGAACTCGCCCATGTGGGTGTACACACCCCCAACAAACGACCATGTGAGGGCGCGGACCGGATGTCCCGGTGGGAGCTCCTCAGCGAGCTGGCGAGCATCCTGGAACTGCAACAGCGCAACCCGATCCTGCTCCTCAGACTCGTAGACCGAGCCCAGGGCGCACATAAAGTAGATGTCCACCAGTGGCAGCTCGTCCTCTGCATCCACCAGCTCCAACCACTGCGATCGCGCCGCCAGGTATGTTTCCACCGCAAGCTTCACCTTGCCGCCATTCTGATACAACAATGCAGCCTCTAGCTTGTGTCCCAGCTCCTCTGTCGGTGTCGGCGGAGCATACAGCAGCTCCCTATTCTCGCCAGCCGCAGCCGCAGTCACAACCACCGTCACAGCCAGAGCCCCACCACAACCCGAAGCAGCACCAAGCTAAGCGTGAGCCCATGCACAAATCCCCCTCCCCTCCCTCCCTGCCTTCCTCCCTCCCCTCCCCACACACCCTCTCCCCACACCCCTCATGCCCGTTGACCACCCACCCACCGCCCTCCCCCCACCCCACCCCACACACACACACACACACACACACACACACACACACGTACTTGATCAGACACGGGGCTGTAGTGGCCAGGCCGGACATGCCGGAAGCACTGGACGACGTAGGCTGCTCCACGGTGGGCAGGTGTGTGCGCAACTGTCGAGTGCGGTCCAAAGTGCAGTGTGGTGACACTCGCGCTTCGCCTTTGCCCTCGCACGGCGTCGGACACGCACCACGATCATTTGGGCAGGTGCTGCGCAGCGGCGCCAGCGGCGACGCCAGTGCAATCCTGGACCCATGAGCGTGGAAGGTAGGCCATCCACCACTGATCGGGGCCAAAGAGAGGGACAACGCACGAGGAGCGGATGGCGTACCACTCGCGGGTGTACAGAACCATCAGCAGGCCGTTGCCGAGCGCAAGCATGAGCCAGAGGAACAGATTCCAGTACGAGGCCTTGTTGGCGGTAAGAGTGATAAAGATGACGCCCGGCCCGCCAAACATCAGCAGCAGGACCGGATAGACAAAGCCGAGGGCGGCGGCGATGATGTACTCGTGCAGGACGGCCGAGACAAAAAAGGCAAACAGCTGGGCGGCACCGCGGCCCAGGCCGAGGAACTCCATCGAGTCCGAGTAGAGGTAGGCGCGGACCCAAAGGTGGACGACCGAGTTCCACCGGCGATAAAACGAGCCCCACGAGGTGGCGTTCCACCAGTCCGAGTAGAAGCGGCGGTCGGCAAAACGGGTGATTTCGGCCCAGGCGTTGAGCCAGGCATGGAGCAAGCCCCAGAAGGCCATGATGTACAGCAGCATGGCGGGCATCATCGACGAGAAGACCGAGAGTACAAACGGCTTGTAGGCAAACGGCGCGTTGGCCGCTTTTTCAAACTGCGGGCCCACGTACCGGAACACAATGTACGCGCAGTAGACGACGGCCACGATCTCGGCAATGTAGCGGAGAACAAGCGCATAGCGCGTGCGATACGTCCGCGGATACGATCGCCGGTAGAGAAAGGTCGGCGCAAACATAAAGTATGTGTACGCTTCGACCTCATTGCCGAGCGTCCATCCGTCAAAGGCCACAGGCTCGGCGGCGAGGAGCGTGCCGGCCGCCACCGTGGAGTGCGGGTAGTCGTCCGAGTCCGCAGGGTACGACTCGCGGAGATACGAGTGGATCTTCATCGAGATCCGCGTCTGCTCCAGCATAAATGCCAGGCCTGATGCCGGCGGCAGCTCCAACCGCCGTACCGCATACCCAGCCGCCGCGTAGAGGCCGAGCTGGTACACCGCGTACGCGCACACCGCCGCACACCGCAGCGCGCGCGACATCGAGCAGTGGCACACGTACGCGATGGGGAGAATGGCATACGAGGCCCCAAAAAGGACAAACCACATGAGAATGACCGTATCAAACTGGCCAAAGCACCACCAGATGAGCGAGAGGTCGACAAAGAGGGTGCCTGACTCGAAAAAGTCCTGGATGAAGATGTTCAGCCCGGCCATGATGATGACCGTCACAAAGAGATTGTGGATGGTGGCGTAGTCGCGGATAGCAAGCATCTGCGTCAGCTTGGACTTGCAGGGCGTGAAGACCCACTTGAAGCCGCCATCGCTGCCGCCGGTTCTCCCACGCCCGCCCTTGCTTCGGCTCTCGCCCTTGCGCGGCCCGTCGACACCTGAGCCCAGCTCGGCCTTGCCGCCGCGGAGCGCACGACGCAGCGACTTGGTAGTCTGCTGACCGGCACCCTCCATAAGCTCGTCGACCCGCTTGATAAGGCGGGCAAAGCGCGAGTCCATCTCCTCACGCGCCCCGTTGATGAGCGCCAGCGCCTCCTCCCGCACCGCCGCCTGCGCGGTAGCCACGGCTGCCTCTGCCCGCACCGTTGCCTCGGACTCGGCTGCCGATACTGCCGCCAGCACCTCCTGAGACAGAGTCGCTGCCACAGACGGGCTCTCCATGGACCACCGAGAGTGAATGAGAGTGGAGTGCCTGCCTGGTCGGTCGCCGAGTGCGGGGAAGGAGGTACAGGCGCACAGGCCGACGTGAGGCACGGCCAGGCAGAGGGAAGGAGGCTCATCAAGCAGCGGCAGTGTGGATGTGGGCAGCCTGCTGGGTCGGATGCGTTGTGATGGGGCGACGGCATTGTAGTGGGAAGGCTGGTGCGGCGATCGATGCCTTGGTTGATGCCTAGTCAGTGTGGTGATCGCTGCGGCCGTCATCATAGTCGGTGCGGTATATGAAGCGGCCGATGCAGTGGATGAGGATGATCGACACCTTGGACGATGCCTTGGACGATGCCTTGGTCGATGCCTTGGTTGATGCCTTGGTTGATGCCTTGGTCGATGCCTTGGTCGATGCCTTGGTCGATGCCTTGGTCGTCGCCTGGCTGCGCCTGGCGACAGGAGCATGCGGGACCAGCCATGGCCAGAAGCACCTCTCTCTCTCTCTTGTCCCCCACCCCCCCATACACACACAGCTACCTACCCTTGCATAGAGACAGGGTATGAGCGGGAGTGGGTCGGGCTCGGTAGGCTCGTACTACTACTCGTACTCGGACGGGGGAGTAGACGACGGTGTGGCTGGCCATGGCTCGTACGACGACGGCTCCTCGCACTCGGCGTCATCGTCATCGGTGGCCCTGGAAGAGCCAAAGCTCAAGTACTCGCGGGTGGGCGCAGACCTCATCCGCATTGTCCAGAAGGATGCCATCGTCTGTCTGGAGGCTGGGCCAAAGTTCTTGGTACGTGTGTGTGTGGGCCGGGGGGGGGCACGTGCGACCTGTGGCACTAGGCAGGGAAGGGGTGGAAGAGGTGGGATGCGGAGTGGAGGAGGACGGGACGGGGAGGAGGAGACGGGGAAGCTCGGGAAGGGGGGGGGGGGGAGGAGGGACTCTCGTAGCCAGTGCGGCGCAAGTGTGGTCGCCACAGGCACAGCTTGCGGTCCAGACTCATGTTTGTACGAGTCCGCCTTTCTGTAGGCTGTGGGAACATCGTACGGAGCTGTGTACCTGACGGACCACCTGGGCAACCTGATCAAAGAGTACCACTCGCACAGCATGGGAGTCAACGCGATCTCGATCGACGGGGCGGGAGACTACATCGGAACGTGCTCGGACGACGGGACGGCGGTGGTCAACTCGCTCTTTGACGAAGAGTCGTACCGGTACACCTTTCAGCGGCCAATGAAGGCCATTGCGCTCTCGCCCAACTTCCGCGACGACAAGGCATTTGTGGTCGGCGGGCTGGATGGAGTGCTCGTTCTGCGGCGAAAGAAAAAGTGGTCGGCGTTTGGCAAGTCCAAGGACACGATCATCCACCAGGGCGATGGCGCCATCTATGCCATCTCGTGGCGCAAGTCGATCATTGCGTGGGCGACGCCTGTGGGGATCAAGATGTACGATCGCGAGACTGAGGAGCGGATCACGTTTATCGAGCGGCCGGCCGACGCGCCGCGGCCGGACGAGTTCCGCTGCCACCTGGTGTGGGTCAACGATGCGACGCTGCTCATCGGGTGGGCCAACTGGGTCAAGGTTGCAGTCATCCGGCAGAGCCACGTCAAGTACTGCGAGATCATCGGCTCGTTCCGGACAGACTACTTTGTGGGCGGCATTGCACCGTACAAAGAGGCGATGCTGGTCGTCATTGCCTACACCGAGGAGGCGGCGGCGAATGAGAGCGATTCCGGCGAAGGCGCAACGTCATCGCGGCGTGTGGTCGAGACTGTGCCGCGGCGGCCCGAGCTGCGAATCATCTCGTACGAGAACGACCCGGTCTCGTCGGACGCGCTCGAGACCCACGGCTGGCAGTACACCCACTGCCGCAACTACTCGCTGGCGTACCTCCACGACGGCGTCGACGAGATGCTGTACGTCATCTCGCCCAAGGACGTGGTCCTCGCCCAGCCGCGCGGGCCCGACGACCACGTCCATTTTCTCATGGAGCACTCCAAGTTTGAGGAGGCGCTGGCCGCGGCAGAGGCGACGGCGAGCCAGCTCCAGTTCTACTCGGTGGCGCAGATCGGGCGTACCATCCTCGACCTGCTGCTGGAGCGCGGCGAGGTGCGGCGGGCAGCGTCGATGCTGCCGGCAATTCTTAAGGACGACCGTGGCGCGTGGCGCGAGTGGATCCTTCTCTTTGAGGCGCAGGGCCTGCTCGCCGAGCTCGTCGAGTTTGTGCCGACGACAGCGCCGCAGCTCGAGGCCGACCTTTACGACCTCATTATCACCCACCTGCTTGCCAACGACCATGCCGGCCTCCTCACAGTTGTCTCCAAGTGGCCGCCGAGCCTGTACTCGATGACTTCGGTCATCCTGGCGGTCGAAAGGGCGCACGCCTCGTTTGCCGAGGACGAGGACGAGGGCGCGTCGCCCAAGGTACTCATGGAGGTTCTCGCCAAGCTCTACACTCTGTCAGGCCAGTACGACTCTGCGGTCCAGTTCTGCCTCGACCTCAACGTCGGTGACGTGTTCCAGCTCATCGAAGAGCACAAGCTCTTCTCCGCCGTCCTCGAGCGCATTCCGCAGCTTGTCGAGGCCGACGCCGACAAGGCCGTCGCGCTCCTTGTCAAGTACAAGGACGAGATCCCGCCGGACCACGTTGTGTCTGCGCTCCGCGGGCCGGTACTCGAGGAGAGCCTCCTCCTGTACCTCCACGAACTGATGAAGAAGGATCCGCACATTGGCTCGGACTACCATGAGGAGCAGGTGGTGCTGTACGCCAAGTACAAGCCGGAGCTCCTGCTCAACTTTCTCCGCCAGTCGCAGTACATCCCGCTCGAGCGGGCATTCAAGGTGTGCAAGGGCTCGGAGCTTCACGAGTGCATGGTGTTCCTCCTCGAGAAGATGGGCAACACCCGCGAGGCGCTCGACCTCATCATCCGCAAAATCGGCTCAGTCCGCAAGGCCGTTGCGTTTGCACAGGAGCAGGCCGACGAGGAGCTGTGGGACGACCTCATCTCCAAGTCGATCGAAAAGTCCAAGGTCGAGCCGCAGTTCCTCGGCGAGCTCCTCGAGCACATCGGCGGACACATCAAGCCGGCCAAGCTCATCTCGCGCATTCCCGAGAACCTTGCCATCCCGCGCCTCCGCGACCGCCTTGTCAAGATCATCACCGACTACAACCTGCAGACCTCACTCCGGTCCGGATGCGCCCGCATCCTCCGCAACGACTGTGTCGACCTTATGGAGCGCCTCGTCAAGAACAACCGCCGCGGCGCCCACGTCGCAGGCGCCGCCGAGTGCATGACTTGCCGCGCCATGGTCAACGTCTCCTCCCGCGGTGCTCGGAGCACCGACGACGGCGTCGTCGTCTTTTTCTGTGGCCATGTCTACCATCGTGCTTGCCTTGCCCAGTCGGTGGTCGGCGGCGGCGGTGTCGCTGTGTGTGTCGTGTGCCGTGCGCAGGCGGCTAGCATCAAAAAGTGCTTGCTCTCCTCTCCATGTGGAAAACGATACGGTTTAATCAAGACACGGCCCGGGCGTCCCGAGCCTGCAGAATGGACCACAGCTTACGAAAGCATGGCCATGGCGGCGACGACGTCGCTCTCGATGCCGCACTCGTCGTGGCCGCGGAGGATCTTAAAGTAGCCGTTGTCACCCCAGGCGGTGGTCCACGAGTTCTTGATGAGCCAGTACGGCTCGCCGTTCTCGGTGCCAAAGCCGACAGGCGAGACGCAGTGGCCGCCGAGCACGCCGCCCGAGGTGTGCTTGTACACGCCCGACTTGTAGTGGATAAAGTCCTCGTAGACGGTGAAGCAGGCCTCGACGGTACCGTGGGCAACGATCTCCTTGGCAATGTCATCGGCCCGGTTAAGGAACGAGCCAACCGAGTAGGGGCGGCCGACGTGGAAGGCCTTGCACGACGAGTTGGTAACCTGATGGCACGGCTTGGTGGGCGAGAACGGCGGCTCGCACGGCTGCTGCGACGGCTTGCACGTCGGCTCGGTGTACGGGTAGCACGACGAGGTCGTGAGCCCGTTCTCGTGGATGAACTCCTGGGCCGCGCCAGCGTCACCGCCCTCGCACCCGTTGCACGGGCCGCACGACGTCAGCTGCTGCTCCGACAGCTCGTCCTGGAACTTGCCGCCCGACGCAATGCAGAACCGGTCCGACGCCATCTGCGTCGCGCCGAACGCCCAGCACGAGCCGCACGAGCCCTGGTTCTTGATGCTCCCGATCTGGGTGCAGTTGGCCCAGTTGGTCACCGAGTTGAACGAGGCCGGGACCTCCACGTCGGGCACCTCGCCCACAGGCAGCGACGCCTTGAGCACGGGGTTGGGCTTCCACCCGAGCATGCGCTTGACCTCAGCCACGGACGCGTGCTTGAACATCGGGTTGACGCCAGCCACCCAGCCGGCGTTCCTGGAGGGGGGGAAGGGGAGGGGGGGTGAGTGGTTGGACAGCCTTTTTCGGTGCGACTGTGTGATCGAAAGGAGGGGGAGGGGGGAAGGGGACGGGGGAAGGGAGGGGGGGAGGGGGGGAGGAGGGGAGGGAGAGAGAGAGAGAGAGG